TTATTATTATTATTATTGATGTTAAATGTCAATTTGCTATTATTTGTTGTTATTAGTAATATTACTATTGTTAATATTAATTATATAATTATTTTAAATGGTTAATATTAAAAAAAATATTATTGTATGTATATATATATTCAGTTTAATTTATCGTCGCGATCATATCCGAGCCATTTTTCAGAGCGAGTCTTAAGTTTAATAATCGGGCCAATTTATCGGAAGTATTTTTTTTTTGCCCAAAAGACTTATTTTTTTTTTTAGCCCATAATGGTTTAAGTGGTGTTGGCCCATTTAACTACCCTTACCTTGGCCCAAGTGAAGAGACATCAGCAGACCCATTCAAACTTCTCCCCTTCTCGTAATTGGACCTAGTCTCTCTTCCAGCACTTTTCTGTTCCGTTCATGCTGTGAGATATTCCACCGCACGTTCGTTCGTCGCGTTTAAATATCCGAGGAAGAATAATTCAACCCGCAGATTCCATCTCCTTTCGCATTATCTGATCTCATCTCTCTTTCGTTCACCAAAAAAAAAAAAAAAATTCGGACTCCACTGTTACCGGCGAATTCCAATTCGATCGACGCCATCCCCTCGTCGCAGTCCTGTCGATTCAATAGTCCCGTGAAGCTCTCGTTCAACCTCGAGCAACAAACCAGCCAGCCCCGCAAATCTTTTCGAGAGTCACCAGCAAAGCTTCGCTCATCATTGTTTCCGGCGAGCACTCCGACGGTGCCTTCCCCTGCTTCCGTCAACCGTTGTCATTCCCTGTCAGGCCTCGGAAACTGTTCACGGGCAGCCCTCAGTCCCTTCGAGAAAGCACAGCGGCAGTTCGTCGAGGTTTCGAAGTTCTGAGTTTGTTCGTTCGATCCGTTCATTTTCCGCCCGAGCCCGTATATTCTCGAAGAAAGGTAATCGGCAAACCTTATCGATATATTCATGCTCGTGATTGCTCGTTAGATTATATTCGTACTCGTTGAATTAATTTATTTTTGTTGTTTGCGTTGGTAATGATATCTGTTTATGTTTCGTTTAATCGTTCGATGTCTCGTGAAATTTACGTGGACATATTGGAACTCTCGTGTGTTGTCAATCGAGTCAGGTTGCCGCTGTGTTTATTCGGTTGGTTTCGGAGTCGCGTTTTGTTATTTCAAGCTTTACCATCGTCGTTGTGTTGTTCGTTTTTTTTCGAACCGTGTATTGTCGTTTCGTTTTTTTTGGATAAATAAAACTTGATTTTTGTAAGTTTTCAAAACTCTGGATACTTGGTTTTTTTTTTTATTTTGGTAATTACGTAAGTTGCTTAATCTCGTCGCCCTCGAAATTGTAATTGAAATCCGTACTAGAAGTTTTATGCTGTCTGCAGTTCACCCTATATCCGCAGGCTTCTTTTTAATTAAAATTTTCCATTTATAATTCGAACCGAGCATGTGGTCTAGTGGCCTTCTATCTGCCTGCTTGTGCGAGAAGTCCCGAGTTTGAAACTCTCCACCAACAGCCTAGTTTCTTTTTTTTCGCCCAGCCCAGGTTTCTTCAAGGCGCGCGGGCCGTTCGACCCGATGTCAGCCCGCGTGCGGCCCGATTTTGTCAGATACCTCAGCCCAGTTCAGCCCGCATAAAGCCCGCGTCCACCCAGTTTTTCCCACCCAGCCTTTGTTGGCCAATTTAGTGTGTATTCTCCGGCCCAATTCGCGTTGCCCAATTTAGTGTGCATTCTTCGGCCCAATACGCGTGTATAAGGCCTATTTTCGCAGCAGAAAATTCCAACGCAGCCTAATTCGACCTTTTGATTTTTTTTTTAGTTCTGGAAGCCCCTTTTTTATGCCGGTTTCAATTTTAAAAATATTTTCAAAATGTGAAAATTTTGGAAAAATTATTTTAAGTACCGAGACTCCATTTTTAGTTATCCGAGTCCTATTTTTCAAAAATAAGAGAGTTCCAAGTCCACGAAAAATCCGATTTAAAAACCCTTAAACCTTAATTTTGATTAAGTATGGGTTATATTAAATTCGAGTAGTGAGATAGGTCATTGATAAATTATCTCGCTTAAATGTAGGTGTTTGAGGAGTCGAACCTTGACCTACGTACTTGCTTTAGTGTGCAATATTCTACATCGATTTCCAGGTGGGTTTTATTTGAAAATTTGCTATGCCGTAAATAATTTATTTGTTGTTGGGTTGGTATGATCAATGCATGCTTGTAAATTTGTGTAAACTTCGATGTGAGCTGGATGTCATTCGAATGGTTGTCCCCGTCGTTGAGAGCTGTATGTCCTGCGACGGTGCCTTGTGAGGCAGTCTCCCTATGTCCTAATGATAGGCCATACCGTTGAGAGCTGTATGTCCTTCGGTATGCACTCCCATTGATGAGAATTGTATGTCCTTCAATGGCTAATGATAGATGTGCACATGAGTGAGATTATTGGTGTATTGATTGGAGATGTGACATGTCAAATTGATTTATGATCATGTTGTGACCATACCCTTTGTTATATTATTTGTTATTTATGTGGATAATGTGAGCACTACTGTTTCTATTTGTGCTCATCCCCACCTGCTCTTCATGGATGCAGGTTATTAAGTGCGGCACGGTGGAGTGATGCGAGTGGTGGTCGGTTACTGTTGACCGAATTATTATTTGATATTGCTTCTTCATATTGAACTGACTATATGTTTATCGTGCATGATTTTGAATATTGATCATTGACGATGATGGATTCTCGAATTGGTAGCGTCACCAGTGATTTGAAATAAATTTTGAAAAATTTATTACTGATTTTCGTCAAATAAAAACTGGGGCGTTACAAGGATACTATAAATAGCAGCTCAATTCATTTATTTTGGGTTGTTGAATCTCAACTAACTCTGCCTTCTCTCTACTTTCTCTCTCTAAAATTGTAAGAAATATTTCGTAAGGATTGTAAGTATATCGTAAGTGCCGACCTCGTACGAGAGGCCGACCTCGTGATCGTCTAATAAAATCGTAATTAAGCCATATCCTTCCTTTGTTTCCAGTCTTGTACTTTCAACATTTACCATTTTAACCGTTGACCGAAAAAGCTCGTCAACAGTTTGGCGCTAGAAGAAGGGCACCATAAGTTATTTGGTGTCAATTATTCGATCTTGTGAAACCCCATACTCACCCCCTTTCGTTTACCTCGAATCTCGTTGAAGATAGCTTCATCCAGTCACGACGAGTCAACCTAGCAGTCCGGTGCTCAATCCCGCCGGCGCAACGGCGAAGAGACCTCCCACCGTAATCAACAAGGGACTCAGGCCCCTGTCCCTCCAGTCCTGACTTTCGCCGCAGCCATGCAGAATCCCGACGTCCTCAAAGCCCTGGAAAGAGTCTTCGCCAAGGCCCTCGCAAGCCAGGCACCTGGGGGAAACACCGTGGCAGCCACGGAGAACCACAAAAATATTCTGCTCCAGACCCCCGACAAGGAGACTGGGGGACAGAAGAAGACAACCCTACTAAGTCCAAGACGACGGGTCAATCTCCCAACCGCGCCGCCCTGGTACGGCGCGAGAAAGGTGCGGGGCCAGCACCCACCGAACAAACTGGCGAAAGCCAACCAGACCGGAGCCTGCAGGTTATACGCTGCTCCGTCTACCGATGCCTAGGTGACAAAACCCAGGCTAATCGCGACCTTAGGGGCGTCATCGAGCTAGGTAAAACCATTGGGCGTGATGCCGACGAGTTCACGACCCTCAAACGCAGAGTCGCTGAACTGGAAAGTCGGCACTCCCCCAGGAAGACGCCTCGCCACCTTGCTATTCGCGACCCACTCCTCGGGTCGTGGACCATGCTTCACCACTCTCTCCTGACATCCTGCGCGAGCCCGTCCCCCAGAAAATCAAAGTGCCTTAGCTCGGACTTTACGACAGGAGCTCAGACCCTGACTCACATATCGGCCTTTACACCTCGTTGATTGATCTGCACGGTGCGACGGACGCCCTACGCTGTAGTATGTTCTCCCTGACCCTAGGACCAAAGGCGCAGAGGTGGTACCATTCTCTGTATCCGCATTCAATTTGCACCTGGGGGTAGCTCAAGTCGGCATTCCGATCGCACTTCATAGGATTGCAGATCGACCTGCCCCCCAAGAAATCCATCGCCAATATTGTCCAAGGCGAAAAAGAGAGATTGAAAGACTATATCACTCGATTCAATGACCGGGTTCAAAATATGGAGCAGTGTCATCCCGAGACCCTGCTCGTTTCCGTGCAAGCCGGGCTGAAGCCGAAAACCTTATTCAAGTGGTCCCTATGCCAGAATAAGCCGACCACCTACCAGGAGTTCCTCGTCAAAGCCCAAAACTATATCATGGCCGAAGAGTCCTCATCCAACCCGGTGCTGGATGTCAGTCCGGGCAAAGATAAAAACAAAGAGAAATCTGGGAAGCCTAGCAAGCCATTCGATGAAGTCCGGGCCATGAGAAAGCAAAGGGCTGAGGAGCTCAAAGAAAGTTTCAAAGGTGTCTTCTTCGTAGACGCCGCCGCGGTCTACGAGGAGATAAAAGCGAAGGGGCTACTGCCTGATCCCAAACCCATATTCACCGAGAAGGACAAGATGGACCAGTCTCGATACTGCGCCTATCACAAGGCGCATGGGCATAACACCAACCAGTGCCGTAATTTGATCTCGGCACTGCTCAAACTGATTGATGACCCACAGGTCAGAAAGTTCACTCTCCATGGGGAGAAGAGAAAAAGGGGAGGTCGTTTTGAGGACGGCCTCGATAGTGATGAAGACACTAACGTGAACCCTCGGAGGAAGAAGCCGCAGCAGAGCGCCCCAAATGAGATAATGATGTTCAGCCCGGCTAATCAAGGCGAGGCCGGCACCTCCGCGGGTAGAAAAAAAAATCGATCCCCACATCCATGGACCGACCGAACCGACTTCTCACCTCGGCGTGTCAATACGAGCCGAGGTGAATCCCTCGTGTCGAGGAGAGACGAAGGCTTATGCCCGACAGGCCTTTTATGCCGGGCAAAGAGTGATGCACACCGGAAGCAGGCCGACAGTTGAGCCGACGCCTAACAAAATCTCTTTCACTGACGAGGACGCATTCCTGTTCGACCACCCCCACTCAAACGCCCTGGTGATCACGGCCCCAATAATGGCGATAAAAATCCACCATATAATGGTCGACACCGGGGCCTATGCGAGTATCTTATACTATAGAATATTTAAGAAGATGGAGATTGACAGGAAGGAGATGCAGCCCTGCCGAGAGCGGATCCAGGGGTCTAATGGACAAATGACGACCCCCATTGGCCAAGTGATGTTGCCGATTAGGTTCGTGGAGAAGAGACAGCCCACACGGACGATACTTGAAACTTTCAAGATAGAGGACTGCCCAAGTGAATACAACGCCATCCTGGGCAGGACGGCTCTCTACAAGCTGAGGGGTGACGTGTCCATTTACCATTATTCCATTAAGTTCCCGAGCTCGGACGGGGAAAGGACCCATCGAGGAGATCAGTGAGAAGAGCGGGAATGCGTCCTGACCATCCTGCGAACAGAGGTCAATACAGCCAACTCCGTCCCCGAAGCCGAGACGAGTGCAACCGAGCTCACTGTCTCGGAAAAATTGGTTTCTGTAATTCCGGGGATCCTTTCGTGGTGCGAGCCTCCATACTCTGACTGTTTTTTGATTACCAACTCCGGTGTGGACGCTGAGCCGACACATGAAGGGGAAGGGGGCAACCGCATGCTGGGAAACCAGATAGGTTCGACCCCCCTGATCATGCCAAGTGCCGAACAGGTCGTCGGAGACACCGAGGAGGAAGGTGTAGCAGAGGTCGTAGAAGGCTTGGATCGAAATACCAAGGTGGTTCAGCCCGGCCCGGTGGGCGACCACATGTTGGAAATCCAGACAGGTCTGCTCCCCCAGGTTGACACCAACACCGAGCAGGAAGAAGAGTCCGGGGCCAACCTGGACCAGGACAGAGGCCGAAGAGCTGGCAAGGAGTCGGTCTCGGAGGAGGACTAACTCGATCCCTGAACCCAGTACGAAGAGAAAAGGGGCACCAAAAGGGCCGAGCCCATGGATGAAGTCGAGGTTATTTTCATTGACGAGGAGACTTGCCAGAAGCAACTCCGGGTCGGCAATAGATTAACGCCGCCATTGAAGGCCGAGCTAACCAGGTTCCTTCGGGAAAACGCAGATGTTTTCGCGTGGACCCATGAGGACATGGTCGGCATTGACCCAAAGGTCGCCTGCCATAGGCTGCAGGTCGACCCCACAGTCAGACCGATCGTCCAAAAGAGGAGGAAGCTAGTCCCAGACCAGCAACAGGCTCTCGAAGAGGAAGTGATCAAGCTCAAAGATAATGACTACATTCGAGAAGTCCGATACCCGACCTGGGTCGCCAACCTGGTACTCGTAAAGAAGGCCAGCGGGGCATGGCGCCTCTGCATCGACTTCTCCGACCTCAACAAGGCATGCCCCAAAGACAGCTACCCACTGCCCCACATCGACTATATGGTAGACGCCACCTCGGGGCGTGAACTGATGAGCTTCATGGATGCATACTCCGGCTATAACCAGATCCAAATGCACCCAGATGATGCAGAACATACCTCTTTTTACTTGGCACGCGGACTCTATTGCTATAGCATGATGCCGTTCGGACTGAAGAACGCCGGGGCCACCTATCAGCGCCTAGTCAATAAGATGTTTGCTAGTTTGATAGGTGGTAGTATGGAAGTGTATGTAGATGACATGTTAGTCAAATCCGTGTATGCATCCAACCATGTTAATGACCTCAATAAAATGTTTTCCATTTTGCGTGATTACAACATGAAGTTAAATCCCAAAAAATGCACCTTTGGTGTCGGCTCAGGAAAATTCTTGGGCTACATCGTCAGCCAGCGCGACATCGACGCCAACCCCGAAAAGATTAAGGCCGTTCAAGACCTCCGACCACCGACCCCGATCAAAGGAGCCCAGAGACTGACCGGCAAACTCGCCGCACTCAGCCATGTCATCTCAAAGTCGACAGACCGGTGTAAGCCGTTCTTCGACGCAATCAAAAAGAATCACAAGTTCGAATGGATCCCGGAGTGCCAGCGAGTGTTGGAGGCCGTCAAGGAAGCCTTATGCCGTGCTCCAACCATGCAGAAACCTAGGCCGGGAGAGATGCTCTTCCTCTATCTAGGGGTTTCCGACGTGGCGGTCAGCGCGGCCCTCATCCGAGAGGATGAATCTTCTCAACATCCAGTCTACTATGTAAGCAAGGTGCTCCATGATGCCGAGCTACGATACCCGCCAATGGAGAAACTCGCGTTCGCCTTAGTGATCACCGCGCGGAAACTGAAGCTGTACTTTCTAGAATATTCAATAACAATACTCACACCTACCCTCTGAGAAAGATCCTCCACCGGCCTGACACGTCGGGCCGGATGGTAAAGTGGGCGGTGGAGCTGGGGCAATACGACATTCACTATCGACCCCGGACAGCAATAAAGGGGCAAGTACTATCGAGCTTTATAGCCGAGTTCACGCCGGGGGTTAAGAAACAACAAACGAGCAGCCGTGGGTGATGTACGTGGATGGGTCCTCTACTGCCGACGAGCAGGCAGAGGAGTCTTCCTTGTAGATCCCCACAAGAAGCTCTTTTGTCATTTGATACAATATCTTTTCCCGGCGTCCAACAACGAGGCTGAATATGAGTCATTGCTATCCGGGCTCGACTTTGCAGAGGCCATGAGCTTAACCGACCTCATCATATACTAAGATTCCATGCTGATGGTCAAACAGATATCCGGAGAGTTTGAAGTGAAGGAGCCAAGGCTGGTCCCGTACCTGGGCCTGGTGAAGAAGAAGCTGGCCAAACTCCGGACTAAAATAGAACACATTCCCCAAACGGAGAACGTGCAAGCCTACGCCCTAGCCCGCCTCGCCTCTAGTGCCGGGGTGGAAAATGTCGAATACGTCCAGGTCGGACACAAGGAACAACCGTCCGTGCTCGGCACTTCTGTGCTAAGTGTCGGGCAGGGGGCGGAGGACCAAGTCCCGGGCTGGATGGCCCCGATCCATTTGTATCTCGAGACTGGTGCATTGCCGTCTGACCCGATAGAGGCCAGACAGCTTCGTACTCGGGCAGCTCAGTTTACAATCGTGGCTAGCGAACTGTTCAAATGAGGCTACTCGGCACCTTTACTCAAATGCGTAGATGAAAAGAGCGTCGAATACATACTTAAAGAAATCCACGAAGGCGTATGTGAAAACCATTTAGGAGGACATGCCCTCGCACACAAGGTCCTAAGACAAGGCTACTACTAGCTGAGTCTGAAGAAGGACGCTCTGGACTTAGCTCGGAGATGTGCGAAGTGCCAAACCTTTGAGCCCAACATCATCCAACCATCGCAGCCCTTGAAATCAATCCTCAGCCCTTGGCCATTCGCTAGGTGGGGTGTGAACCTGATCGGCCCCCTACCTACCGGAAAGGGCGGGATGAAGTACGCAGTGGTCGCGGTGGACTATTTCACGAAGTGGGCAGAAGCTGAACCGCTCGCCACCATAACCGAGCAGAAGATGATAGATTTCCTATGGAAGTCCATCATATGCCGATTCGGAGTGCCGAACTCGATTATCACCGACAACGACAAGCAGTTTAAAGGGAAGAAGCTGGAAACATTCTGCAAAGAGCACAACATCAAACACTTATTCTCGACACTTTACCATCCCCAATCAAACGGCCAGGTCGAGGCAGTAAACAAGATAATCAAACAAGGGCTCAAGGTCTGATTTGAAGCCGCTAAAGGGGCCTGGCCGGAAGAGCTCCCGAGCGTGCTTTGGGCCTACCGCACCACGGCTAGATCGTCAACTGGCAAAACACCGTTCTTCCTGGCATATGGGTCTGAAGCAATGATACCCATCGAGCTCGGCACCCCAACATTTTGGGCAACCAACTATGAGGAAGAATCCAACTCTGAGTCGCTGAGGGCCAACTTGGACCTAATCGACGAACACCGGACGCAGGCCGAGCTAAAAAATGCGGCATACAAGAGGCATAGTGAGAGATACATTAACTCTCAAGTCAAACCGCACTCGTACCAGGTCGGCGATTTGGTGCTCAAAAGGGTGACGGGGCCCGACCCCGGACCCCTCAAGCCAAAGTGGGAAGGGCCATACAAAATCAGCGAGGTCTTCTCTCATGGGGCTTACCGTCTTGAACATCTCGACGGCACCCCCACCAATACCCATGGAACTCGGCATTCCTGAAAAAGTTCTACCAATAGGTCTAGGTTGATCCATCATAGCTACTTGTAATCATGTTTTGTAATGAAGTGACGTTGTAAAAGATATGTAACTCTTTGTTATTATTTTCAAAATAAGAGATTTAGGCATAGATCGAGTCGAAGCGGCGTAAGGATCGGTGTTGGCCAGGATCAGTACGATGACCTGGTCGGCACCTCATAAAAATGTAAGGATCGGTGTCGGCCAAGATCAGTACGATGACCTGGTCGGCACCTCATAAAAACATAAGGATCAGTATCGGCCGGGATCAGTACGATGACCTGGTCGGCACCTCATAAAAACGTAAGGACCTGTGTCGGCCAGGATCATTACGATGACCTGGTCGGCACCTCATAAAAACATAAGGATCGGTGTCGGCCAGGATTAGTACGATGACCTGGTCGACACCCCCGCAAAAATGTAAAGATCGAGCTCAAGCGCGTAGCTTGGCTAGGCCAAACCGCACCCCGGCCCGACAAGCAGGCCGGACAGGTAACATGCCCCTGTAATTAAGGCCGCGGAGCCCAATCTCGAGGCCCGGGCAATAAACAAGTTCCGAGCTCGACCATGAGCTTGGACCCGTAATTGATAGCGTCGAGCCCAATCTCGAGGCTCGGCCAACAAATAGGTGCCGAGCTCAACCATGAGCTCGGCACCGTAATTAATAGCGCCGAACCTAATCTCGAGGCTCGACAAATGAACAGGTGCCGAGCTCAACCATGAGCTCGGCACCGTAATGAATATCGCCGATCCCAATCTCGAGGCTCAGCCAAGCAGCGAGCGGGCGCCGAGTTCAACCATGAGCTCGGCCCTGTCATTAATAAGCTCCGAACTCCACCTTGAAGCCCGGCACTTCATACAAACATGGAAGAAAGTTTGGCGAAAGTGAACAAAGTAAAAAGAACGCGATAAAAACAAACTCAATAGTCATAAGCCATCAAGAGCATAAATCCATTCAAAAGCCAAACCGGCATAAATAAAACACGTTCAAGACAAGAGTCGAAATGTTCAGACCACATCCGGTCAGCACAACGGCGTGCAGGCCGGACAAAACAAACCAATATAATGTCTACGCACGGGACTCCAAGAGCACCTCTTCGACGACGGCCTCAGCCTCTTTATCCACCCCCAAAGTTTCGGCCCCCTCTCCGTCCACCCTCTTCGCCGCCTCGGCGTCGGCCACCACCTTCGCCACCTCCTCGGCCTCTTCCATCTCGCCGACCACCGTCAGCACGACACAT